TCACAACTGGACCAATAAGCAGCCTAACAATAAATGGAAAAAAGACTGAAGTTGTCAGGGATTTCATTTCACTTGGATCCACAATCAATACTCATGGAAGCGCAGTCAAGAAATCTGCTGCAAAAGACGTCTTTAAAGTGTTAGGAAGCAGAGATGTCACTTTGAAGACTAAGATGTGCCTGACCCAAGCCATGGTATTTTCAACCTCCTCATATGCATGTGAAAGCTGAATAATGAATAAGGAAGACCCAAGAAGAGTTGACACGTTTGAATTGCAGTACTGGTGAAGAATCCTGAAAATATCATGGACTGCCAGAAAAATGAACAAATCCGTCCTGGAAGAAATACAGCTGGAATGCTCCTTGGAAGCAAGAATGGCCAGACGTCATCTTACCTACTTTGGTCATGTTGTCAGAAGTGACCATTCCCTGGAGAAGGATATCATGCTTGGCAGATGGTCAGCAGAGAAGGGGAAGACTCTTAACGAGACGGACTGACACAGTGTCTACAATGATGGGCTCAAGCACTGCAAAGACTGAGAGGATGGCACAGGACTGGGCAGTGTTTTGGTCTGTTGTACACAGGGCCTCTGTGAGTTGGAGCCTTCTTGACGGCACCTAACACCACCACCAAGGTTCTCTTTCACCCAGATTCAAGCTGGCCTTGAGTTTTTATGGGTCAGCAAACCTCCTATTTGTTGTTTCTCAAAAGCTACATTTTACTTCTCTTTATCTCACTGGGAAAAACACTGTGGAATGCCTTTAATGAATATTGTACATTCTTCTTTTTTTTTTTAAATTGTGATTTGGGTGAAAGTTTACAGAGCAAATTCACTTTCCACACAGCAGTTCACGTATTATGCATTCTTTGAAGGAAATGCTGTGCATCACTCCTCCTAAAAAAGAACCTAGAATCCTCTTCCCTAGGAATCTGGCATCCAAGTGAAAGGGACACAGCAAACTTACCTAGATTTTCCCATTATTATGATTATTTTTAATATTTATTTTGTTTTAGGTGAAAGCATATTAGGTTCCCATTTAAAAATTTTTATACAAATCGTTCTGACATTGGTTACAATTTTCACAATGTGTCATGTCAGCATTCCCATTATTTCCATCTGTTTGTTCTGTTTCCATTGATCTGGCTTCCTTTGCCCTCCTTGCCTTCTCATCCTTGCTTCTGGGTAAATGTTGACCATTTGGCATCAAACAGTTGATTGTTTAAAGCAGCACATTACTCAGGGACGATACTGTTTATAAATCAGTCTATTATTTGGCTCAAAAGTAGTCTCCAGGAGTGGCTTCAGAGCCAAGTTCAAAGGATATGCTAGGGAGATAGTCTTGTAATTCCTCCAGTCTCTATAAATCCAGTAAGTCTGCCTCTTCTTTTCGGAATTTTAATTTGTTCTACATTTTTTTCCCATTATATCCTGGTCTTTCTATTATGTTGCTGGTCAGAGCAGGATCACTAGTGGTAGCTGGGCACCATCTAGTTCTTCTGGTCTCAGCCTAGGTTATGAAAACTGACTAACATGAGACTATAATCCTAATCCTTTTAACCGAGCAAACCAATTGCATGAGGCATTTGGATATGCATAGGAAGCCTCTGTAGGAGCTCTGCTGGCATAGTGCTTAAGGCATTTGACTGCTAACCAGAAGGCTGGTAGTTCAAACCCATAAACCATTCCTCAGAAGGAAAGTTGGGCAATCTGCTTCCATAGAGATACTGCCTCCGAAACCCAAGGAGGGATTGCTATGAGTCAGATCCAACTTGATGGCAGTAAGTTTGGTTTTGGAGTTTTGGAGGAAGCCTCTGTTAACTTCACCCCATCCCCATTACTCCCCCCCCCCCCAGAATATATAGTCAAAGAAACAACTTATTCTTTTGAAACACTAACAGCCATAAGACCACAAAAATAATTTAAAATAACATTATGCACTATCTAAATCAGGCTAAGAAAAACCATCCTCCACAAATGATTCAGAACTATAAAAGCAAAGGTCTCTCATCTTAAAAAATTCTAATAACTGCTTTAGTATAATTTATTAAGGGAGCTCTGGTAGCACAGTGCCTAAGGCATTTGACTGCTAACCAGAAGGCTGGTGGTTCAAACCCACTAGCCACTACTCGGAAGGAAGATTGGGCAATCTACTTCCGTAGTGATGCTGCCTTGGAAACCCAAGGAGGGGTCACTATGAGTCAAATCGACTCGACGACAGTGAGTTAATGGTTTTGAGTTTTATCATTTATTAATGGAAAGACTGGATCCTAATCATTGTTTTGGTACAATACAATGGTCACCATCATAAAATACTACACACAGGAGAACAGAAACATGTTTGATTATTACAGTTTTAAGGTTTCCTAAATTTAAAGCATTCTCATCCATTCATCCACTCAAGTTAGGGACAGATCATTTTAAATGAAACAAAACCACCATTCAGGCAATAGAAGGCACAGAAGAACACAGTAAACAATGCCACACATAAACAGTCACAGTCCAGACTGTGGAAACAATACAGGACAGATGACTTGACTTCCTCAAGTAAAACTGAAGGAACAGAAGAAACAAAGACAAACAATAGACAGGAGTGTAGAAGTCAAAAGACGTGTGAAAGACATATCAACATGTCGTGTGCCTTTACAACATGTGTCACAATGTGTGTACCTTACTTGAACCTAAAGCCATCAAACTAAAAAGAAAAATAAGACAATTGCGGTAAATGTCTAATTATGATGATAACATTTTAACCAGATCAAAATAAGAAAAACAGAAAGGAATTCTTATGTTTAGAAGTTACATACAGAAATATTCACAGATAAAATACTATGGTATCTGTTTCCAAACAATGCTAGACTTGTGATTTCAGGTGTAGGAATATGGAGGAAACAAAACTGGCCATAAACTGATACTTGCTGGTGCTGATGGCTGTATAAGGGTCACTGTATTACTCTCTTTACTTTTGCTTATGTTTGAAATTGTCCGTATTTCAATGGTAATTAATTCCTTTTGCAAACTGAATAAAAAGACATCCTATGAAGATAAACTCTGCTTTACAGAACAAAGCTCAGAAGAAATACATGAAAATGTTAAAAAGTACTTGACTCTGTACAACGTAGTAAGGAAACTCCTTGCCTACATTCTTTTAAAATTCCATAAAAGCATATATAACATACAATATGAAGCATTTAAAAATATGAATAGCAAATGGCTTTCAATCTCTCTCCTTCCTAAAGTAATGCAAGTAAATTTATAAATCCAATTTAACGAGCAAACAAAATTACTGATGGTGGGACTGAATGCCCAAATATATGCATACTGAAAATTAAAATCAAGACACAAGTTCCCCTGAAACTTAACAGTATTAATTTGAACTATGATTCCTTTGATGCTAAAACATTATCCCCATTTTCTAAAGATATGTTACTTTTCTCTAAAATTTTCTCACACCAAATGTTCTCTATAAAGAACTAAACACTTCAGAAGTGTCTTTCAACAGGAGACTGATCACAGTGATCACTGGACTATGCAAAATCATTATTTCAAGTAATTAAATCTGAGGGCTTTAATTATGGTAGTGTAGTGCCTAAGGCAGTCAGAAGGCTGGCGGTTCAAACCCACTAGCCATTCCTTGGAAGAAAGATTGGGCGATGTACTTCCGTAGTGATACTGCCTCAGAAACCCAAGGAGGGGTCGCTATGAGTCTGATCGGACTCGACAGCAGTGACGGAAGTAGGATAATTATAATTATTTTATAATTATATAATTTTATAAATGTCACTCCTACTACTTTATGCAGTATATCTAAAAACTGAAAGTATTAAAAATAATATCCCTCAAACATACATATGTATAAGTGTATTATGAATAGTTATATAGCTACTGGGAATAAAAATATGAATGGAAGCTTAAAATAATTTCCTAGAAAATAATACAAGACATCCCAAACGAGGGTGTGTGTCTGTGTAGTATGCACGTGCACATGAGTGTATGCTGGGAATGTGGAATGTTTAAGAATGAAACCTCACTTCTATAAAAGGAAGCCAATTAAGACACAAACTGTAAAGTTGAAGTGAAGGATGTTATTTATAAATATATGCCACATGGACCAAATACTGTTTTTAGTATTTCTGTTCTACCTCCAAATTCTTTCTTTAGTAGCTGGGTTTCTAAAGGCTTGCAAGCAGCCATCCAAGGTCCAACAACTGGTCTCCATTTGCCTGAAGCAGCAGAGGAAGGAAAGCCAGGAATCAGCGAAGGAACTGGCATGTGTGTCTAACTGCTTCCGTGAACAACCACTTCCCTTATTATGGGACCGGAAGAACTGGATGGTGCCAGGCTATCACTACTAAATGTTTTGGTAAAAAAAATTCTATAGAAGAATCCTGGACAACAGAGGCAAAATGTGGAACAGAATTTCAAATTCTCATGGAATTCAGTATTTCTGAATTAAGGCTGGAGACTCCCCCAAACTTCTGTTATGATAATCTTGAAATCTTAAAACTATCCCCTGAAGCCATCTTTATATTAAGTAACAGTTTAGTTTATCTTTGTAAAGAATGTCTGCCTTGAGCATTGTGCTTTTTTAAAGAATCATCTACATGTTATCAATTTGACACAGTAACCTGAAAGGTTGGATGAGGACCTTAGGGGGCAGTGAGTTTATCTTAGTGGTGGTGGAATAATTTGGAAAAAAATAGTGAGAATGGTTGTGCAACCTAAAGAATGTACTCAATGTCACTGAAATGGACATGTAGAATTTGTTTAGTGTGCATGTAATTTTCTGTGTGTATTTCCAACACACACACACACACACACAGAGAAATATATGCCATATGGAACTGGTGAAAAGTTAAAAATCTGGAACAGGAAAGGAAGAGGCAGAGTACTGTTATGCTTTGTCATAAGCTTTGCATTATTACTACTCTTAAAACAACCACCTGGTTTACTTTTATGAACATTAAATTAAGAAAGTATATACCAATGGAAAATGTCTCACCAATAGTCATAGCTCTCATCCCAGTTGTCAAAATGCACGAGGAAACGATTGTCCACCATATCTGTTACTGTAGCAACACAGATGAATGCAGGGTTCTTTTTGTCTACAGCTTCAAGCTTCATTCCAACTCGAAAGCCTGATGGGATCACTGTCTACATAAACATACAGATTTAATTAGAAATAAGCACGTACTTAACAGCAAGACCTCCTACACCTCCCTGCACCTCCTACTCAAAGGCCCACATCCATCACTATATTCATATAATTAAAAAACTGTGTGTCAATTTCACAGCATGGTGGCTTTCAAACAAGAAACAATAAAAAAATAAAAGTGCCCTACCACTATACCCAATTAACTATCTGAGCTCAAAACCAAAACATCCTCAATCTAAGAGTTTAAAATCACTAATTTTAGCATGTGTTTTGGTATCTTAGAAAACAATACAAGTTAGGCAAGTTTTATTCACTGTACAATTCACTTTTTCCCCCTCATTTCCTTGATTACAGACTTAGAAATGAAAATTATTTCACATAAAATACACACTTAATCACATTAAAAATGTACATGAATCAGTAGTACAAATTCATTCCCACTTCTGAAAAGATCTCTCAAAAGAGTGCTTTACTGAAAGGAGATCATCTTCACTTATGAAAGGTTGCAACTTATTGAAGTTCAGCTTTTACTCAACATTACAGACACTACTTATTCACAACAGCAACAAAACAAACAAATGGAAAACCCTAGCTGTTAATATATACAGCCATTCAAACAAAATAGTCCGTACAGTCTGCAATTTAAGGAAATTCAGATTATCAGTCATGTGGGACTTAGAACTAACACAATAAAAGGGTATTAAGAGTTAGTGTTTGAGATACAGTAAAATAAAACTTTCCTTGCAACTTTTTGTGAGAAAAAATATCCTATTTCAGAGCAGTGGACCTAGACATCAATTAATGATCTATTTATAATTATTATAAATCACATCTACCCTTCTAAAAAAAAAATCTTTCTGTTCACACTGAGGCATACAGGCACTATTCTAACCACCTTAAGCAAATATATGTTATCTCTTGTTTGTTAACTATAATTATAGTTATGATTGCATAATCCTAGACGGTCATATGTATCTGGAGATGTGACAGTAAGTCCTATCTGAATTGAAGGAGCAGACACTAACGCTACACCGGAATGTTAACTAGACATAGTTATTTATCAGAATTCTGTTCATCAACGTTTGAGTATGTGGAGGCAGAAAAACTCAAACTCCCTGCCGTCAAGTTGGGTCTAACTCATACTATAGGACAGACTAGCTCTGTCTTACAAGATTTTGGAGATAAAGGCATGTAAAAGCAGGAATACTGGATACCAAATTCACAGCCAAAGATTAAGTTGTATGCTAGCAACGCATAGAATTTAAGAAGACTGTTCAAGGCAGGTAATCAAATCCCTGACTGAAGTCATCACTGGAGAATCAGACAGGGATTAGGAAATTTGGAGCAGCAACAGCAGACCACTGCATTTCCATCTAAGTGACCTTCCTCCCTGGGATGAATCTTGACAAAGAAGACCTACTGACAATGTAATATTAGTGTTTCAGAAATTAATCTATTATCTCAATTAACGTATTTTAAAATAATAATCAGGCATATTTTCTCCACTAGTTCGCTAAGGTAAAGCATACATGTGCACATGCACACACAGCACACACAAACTCTTCTTCCATTCTCTAACTCAAGCTGGTTTATGGTCAATTTGATCAGAGAATGTTTCACCTGCTGACATATGTCCTCCCAACAACTCGTTCCTCAATGAAGGGTATTTGTCCTCACTCCTTATACTTATTTCCATTTGGAGAGCAACATTAGTGAAATAGCACTGGCCTCTCTCCACCCTCTCACTCACTCTACCTGACTGATAAATGTAGCAGGAGGAACTACATTTTTGAGGTACTGGCCTGAAAGGCACGTGATTTCTATTCTGCTACTCTAAGGGTGAACCCTGTCCCTTCAGAAGGGCAAGCCTGCCACGATCATAAGCTCCCTGGGCCTAGTGTGGGACCTAAAGAGGAAAAGGAGCAGTAAATCTCTTCAACTCTTGGGCTCAGAACCAAGCAGCTAATTTTTCTGCCATGCCTTTTAACTTAGCACTTATGAGTTACACAGCTGATATTTTGGTTTTCATTAACTTGCTTTCTTCTTTCCAATTAGATCAGAACTCAGGTGAACAAGTGAACTTACTGGGTCCCCTCAGAGATGTCAACAGAGGAAAGTGTAATGGAAAGCAGGAATATAGTCCAAGAAACAGAAATTACATATATATCTAAGATTTTGCTTCTGTTATACTGCAAAATAAAGTTACAAGCTGGAGTGAAGGTAAGTCGTAGTCTCTAGCTATGCCCTGGATGTAAATCTAAACAGGTCTACGTTCATCTCACTGTATAAATTGTATTTGAACAGAACTTTTCAAAGTGACAATAACAACAAAACATTCCAGAAAACTTCATTTGTACCTTATTGTAAATTACGGCACTCTGGTGGCTCAGTGCCTAAGGCATTTGACTGCTAACCAGAAGGCTGCCAATTTAAACCCCACCAGCCACTCCGTGGAAACAAGACTGGGCAATCTAATTCTGTAAAGATTTACTGTCTTGGAAACCCAATGGGGGTCGCTATGAGTTGGAACTGACTTGGTGGCAGAGGGTTTGGTTTGGCTTTTTTTTTTTTTAATTATAAATTAGACATAGGTTTTGTATTATGCTGCCTTCTACCATTAAGGAAAGAAAAAAAAGATATTTATTCATGAAGATTTTAAACAAATTTTAAAGTATAATTAAGATAAGACTATTCTACATAATAAAGCAATAAAATGTATTATATAGCTTGTTGTTATCATTTATCCTTGTAATTCACCTTTGAAAGGAAGAGTATTTTGAGAGTACTTACTATATTCTGGTTTTCAAATAACGACTTGGGAGCAGCTTGAGCTTTGCATGTTTTGAGATAGGTCTGCCAATTAAATTCTTCTTCTTTATATCCTAGAACAAGTACACAGCAAGAGAGTCAGTGAAGTATCAAAATATTTCACACTTTGTTTTCCACTCTCACTTTTAGCTAAATTCCTACATACACATCTCCAGATCAAACCACCAGGGGATTTTTTTTTTTTTTTTTAATAATCAAAGTCTAACTTATTATTTAGGTTTGAGAATTTTATACACAGGTTGTGCTTATTTTTGATAAACTATTATTTTTTTTATTTCTGAATGAATGCTATAAGTATTAAGAAAAGGAGGAAAAGAAGCAAATACATGTAACTGGGCACACTTGTTTTTATTAACAAGGTATTCCCAACAGCATTTAAAGTAGTTTTCACAGTGGGAAATTAGTGAACTAGAGCAGTCTAATTCTTTATTTTTCCTTCATTGTTCTGTTTTGAAAGGTTAGCTTGTGCAAACAAGTGAGAAGCTGGAAAAAACCATACCAAGACAGATAAAATCCTTTTTTTGCCGATCACTGCAAAAATGGCAAATAAGGGTTATGAAGTAAAGCACCTTGGCAAATTACAATAAGGTAAATGCCCTTGCCTAATTTTCAGAATCTCATTAAAGCAAACATTTCCCTATCAAAGGAATTTCATCATTTTATCCGCAAATGTGCTCTCTTCTTCTTCCACTAAAGTCCAGAAAGCAGTATGGAAAAAACACTCAGTAATTCACCACAGATGAATTCAATTTATAGAAAGGTTCACAGCATTCCTTTTTTCATCCTCATCTTTCTTATGTGTTTTTGTTTAATTCTTCAGCCCTCTGGAAACATTGTTCCATTAATTTTTCATTGAAACTAAGGAATACCTAGTTCATTAAAAAACAATAGCCCTAATAGGTCTTAGTCCAAAGCAAAGAACAATGAAGAAAACCAGACACATGGAAACAATCAGTCTAAGGGACCATGCAAATTTCTGAGACCAGAAGAACTAGATGGTATCCTGCTACCACACGAAAAGGGATCAAAATAGGAAATCCTGGAGAGAGTGGGAGAAAAATGTGGAACAAAATTCAAAATCATTAAAAAGGCTAGGCTTATTGGTCTGAAAGAGACTGGTGAAACCCCAAAGACTATGACCACTACACCCTTCAGGTCTGGAACTGAACTCATTCCCATGACTTCCAGCCAAAAAATAGACAGGCATATAAGTGAACATTACAACAGGTAGGTATACTCCTCAGAACAATGAAACATGGGAGATCAAAAGGGTAGTATTTGTACAGGGGCACAGTTCAGAAGGCAGGAATGCACAGGAAAGAAGGACACAGGGAAAAGGAAGAAGTGGGAAGAGAGCTGTTCCATTATGGAGATTCCAATCAGTGACATGAAACGAAATGTGTATGAACTGCTCTGTGTACAATGAATTTGCCAGGTAAACTTTCACTCAAATTACAATTAAAAAAATATATATATACAGAAAACAATAGCCCTGACATAAGCCAAAAATTACCAAACTAGTAACTTAAATTTTCTACACCAAGAAGACAATACTATACATACTAATAAAAAATGAAGAAATAAGATTTTATTATACACATTAATGAAAGACTGAAAAAGATGGTATTTGTTATTCTTGAGACTGTGTAAACATGAAACAGGCAAAAATCACTGGCAGACTATAACAATAAGAACTGGATCATAAGAAAAAGTAATTGTTCATTCCCTACCTAAACAAATTTTTAGAGATACAGTCTCCTTTCCAAACTCCTAAATTTAAGATCAATAAATTAAATGCATTAATTTTTCAGGATTTTCTATATACTTAAAATATCAGTAAATAAACTTAATTGTGTAAATTAGAAGCAATATTTTTTAAAATCAGTTTTTACAAGGAGATACACGTAAAATAAAAACAAATCTATGGCTAAATGCTATCTGTAGTCAAAATCACCATGAAAATGTTTGTATTTTACATACTTTTATGTGTATATTTTATATACTTTTAAAATATTACTTTTATAATTTTTTTTTTCTTTGTGAACAATAAGCATGAATTTGGACCCATCTGAATTATTATTCAGTATAAATTCTTACAAATTCTAAATTGGCATTTAAGAAAATGAGTTTTTACTGAATTCAAAATGTAACAAAAAAATGACAACACCTTTTGGTGCATGAAGTTTATGGCCAGTTTTCTCACACCACCCAACTGGGTGAATATCCAAAGCATCTGCATTTACCCAGAAGTCATAACAATCAGAATGCCCATCAAAATGCAGTTTTATGCGGTACCCACAAACCTGCAATACAAAATAGATTGACAAATTAAAGAAAATAAAACTGAATCTTCACGTATGTATATAAAAACGTAGTAACATGAACAGGAAGTATTACGTCTGTCTTCACAGCAACAAAACCCCTAAACAAACGGCAAAATCTAAAAGCAAAGGCTATTACAATGGGAAGAAATGAGCTGCAATATTCTAGCCAGCAACATCCTCAGCTACATTAGGGGTACGTGGATGGATACGGGGTAAAGAATAGTTCTCCCACATGGACACATCCTCTCCCCATTCTCTTTTTAAAATCAGATTCTGCCATATCAATGAAAGTTGACAGAGAATCACCCAAAGCAGTATACTGCAGACATCTCCAGCAAGGATCCTGAGTGGATGCCCTGCTGGCCACTGTTTGAATGCCAGTTCTCTGTCCTTTTATAAACTCAGCACATGGCAATGTATTTGTCCAGACCAAAGCTTGTGCAGACATGGAGTGAGGCCAACAGATTCTCCGCTCCATCAATAGCTCGTTTGGAAGAAACAAAGAAGGAAAAGGTCTGTCCCAGAGTCTTGGAAGATTCAGCCTCTAAATCTTCCTCCCACTAGCCTCAATGCCAGCACAGCAATGTGTTCTTTCAGCTACACATCAAAATAACTGCTTGATTTTTCTAATATATACAAACAGAAACCTGGGGAAACATGTATGAGAATGACTATTAAGGATGTGGTACAATGGCACAAGGAACATATTAAGTTGGATCAGTCTGAATTTATTGATATGGCCCTTCTAAGCAAAGACTTGTCATTTAATGTTTCAGTTCAAGAGGTTATAAAAGGATCTAATAGCTTATCTGGATGATTCACTGAAGCATGGATTAAGCGGTGGGCTACCTAAATCAAGTTGAAATGCCAAAGCTACCGTGGTATACTGTACAAGAAGGTATCTAAAGGCTTAGGGCAAATGGCATGTTAGAGTGGTTATGTCAGGTTAGACCGACAGCTTCACCCATGGAGTGCCAAAGGACACACCTTTTACCACAATGGTGAGGAACAAATTTGTGAAGGAAGCTCCAGTATACCTGAAGTCTGCAGTGATTGCTATTTTATGTAAGTTATATTTGACAGTGGGAACTGCCCTAACTGAATTAAGATGACTGATTACAATGGGGCTGATTGGATGCTGGGGTGTTGGGGCAAGTAGCAGGACTTAACAGACAAAGGTAAGGTGAGCATGGTTACGGTAACAGACAGCAGTCAAAGCAATAACAGACTGATTCCTATGGACTTATGGTGTTGGCTATTTAACCATGGTGTCCTTTGAGTGAAACAGATGGAAAATACACTAAATATTTACTTGATACAAGCAGAAGTTTTCTAAGTCAAGAGAATGGCAGTCTAACTTGAATCTCCAGACTAGAGAGACACAGCCCCGGAATCAATTCCAAGCCTTGAGCCAGTTCACAGATCCACAGTCCCTTGAATGAAGGCTGAGTCCCCTTGAAGAAGCACTCCAGTACACTGCCAAAAATTTATACTATGAATCTTTCTCCCAGCCTTCCCCAAAGGGATTTATGCCTTTTATGAGAATGACTGTTCACTGGGGAAAAGGAAATGATCAGACTTTTTGGGGACTACTGGACAAAGACTCTAAAATGACACTAATTCCAGGAGACCCAAGATGTCACTGTGATGCACCATTCAGAGTAGGGGCATATGGAAGTCAGGTTATTAATGGAGTTACAGCTCAGGTCTCTCTCACAGTGGGTCTAGTGGGTCCCTCAAAACATTCTGTAGTGATTTCCGATTGGGAAAAAAATATTTGGTAATGACATATCTGACAAGGGACTTATCTCTAGAATTTATAGAACACTCCAACACCTCAATAACAAAAAGACAAACAAT